CAAGGTGATGTCTGAGATAAGGACACAAGATATGGTTTAGTCGCTTAGTGGTTAGTAATGGTGATAGGAGAACGGTTGGACTAGATGATCTTGTAGGTTTGTTCCAACCTTGTGATTCTATGATTCTATACGAAGATGCCACAAAGAAAAAAATGACCTAGTTCTAACAGCTCTGCTGTGCAGTTGGACTGTTAGGTCCATGTAGTGCTGGAACTTTGTGACCTTGGTGTGAAAAATGCATAATGTTAATAGTCTCAGGGTGACTCCTGCACAGAAGAATTGCCACTCCTTATGTTTTTTTGTTTCTTTATTATGAAAGAGTTCACCGTCTTTCTTCATATGTGTTTAGTGCTACATACTTGCTGCAAGCTAGTTTGGTGTTACGATATGCAGCTTGTAAATGAGTTGCTCTTACGCTGATCTTACTGCTGTTTCTATTGTAAGGTAATATGGCTGTGACTCATGCCTTTGCATAAATATTTAAATGATGGTTTCAACATTTTCATTTTGAGGACACTGTGCCAAATATTGCAGTGATAGCTTCAAAACATGCCACTTTGAAAGGCAAGGAAGAATGTTTTTTTTTTCTTTTACATGAAGCTGTAACAGAATCCTTCAAGATTTTCAGATTACAAGGGCATTCTGTAGGGCAGCATCACCCCACTGTTACGACCTTCAGCTGTCCTGTTGCTTGCTGAAGTGATCACTGTTGCATTACACTGGGATCTGGCCTGCTGAAATTCTTGTGTTTCTTCTGCCTTTCGTAACAGCTTGTCACATGCACCAAATAATAAGGCCATACTGGGTATTCCAATACAAAGAGTGCCTCATCTACGCATCAGTTGAGATGTTTCACACACTCATTAATAAACAGATAACACATTTCGGGATTAACAAACGAGATCTTTCAGCGCTATCATAACATGTTTCATCTAATGAATTGATGTATTTAATATGGAGATTCTTTTAATTAATGTAATTGAATATTTAGTAGCATGACACTTCTCATGCTGTGTACTTCCGTTTGTTGGCCAGTGTCAGCAGGAAAACAAAAAGAACAGCAACCATTGAAAAATGATCACATGAGCTGAAATCCAAACCAAACGTGGAGCAGAGAGCAATGGAATAGTCATCATGTTGCATGTGCAGTGGTTTGAACCTCCTTGAAGATACCAGAACACAAACAAGAGTACAAGCCTATTTCCTGCGGGGAGTGTCCTATGGAGGCTTAATAATATGTCTTTAGTTTGACAGAGATACAATGATAGTTATTTAGAGGACAATATTAGAGCTATCATCTCATATTTTCCTTCATGAGAAGGGAGAGGTTCTTGCACGTTCCAAACATGTCACTAATCATCTCTTTTCCCTTTCTTCATTAAAGTAAAACCAAAAATATTGTAGAGCAACTGATACTTCCAGTATTTGTGGTGTGAAAGCATTACAAGCTTTTCTTCTTGCGAAAGTTTTTTTTTCTTCAGAATTGACAAATGAAGAATCAGTGATTCCCCTGAAGAATCAATGCTCTTACAAACCTGTCCGCAGTTTGGTCAATGACCTTCTTGGAATCTTCCACAGAGCGTGCCCTGTTCTGATTTTTCTGAAAATGCAGTCTGCTACTGAAATAGAGGACAGGCAGATGAAGAGGAATGTTGTAGATCAGTTTGGGATGCTGCTACATTTTTGTGGAGCAGTGAGATAAGTGGGTGCTGCTTACTGCTGAACAGTGTTGGAAGTATGACACAAAGCTAGGAGTAGGGAGGCCACTTCCAAGAGCTGCCATAAAGGCAGACAAGCAGCGCTGGCATGTCCATTTATAGAAACAGTTGTCCACTGAAGAGTTATTTTAGATTCCAGTTATAAGCAGATAGAAATTGAAGCCATATTTTTGTAGTTTTTCAAGTGACCTTCCTTTAAGTGGGGCAGTATACTCAGCTTTAGTATTTATGGAAGAAAGTGAGATTAATACTGAAACATCATGCAGATTATGTGCGTGTGCCTTAATATTTGTGTCACACATCTTCTCAGTTTTAAGTGGATCCTATTTTTGGACATGCATTAATATACAGAAGGCATCTCTGTATCATTCTTGTATTCTGCCAATGGCAGTCTACAAGTCTTGAGCCCTCCTGTATCAAACAGCACGCTTTATGTCAGATTTTCAATAACCTCTCCACCTACAAGGCAACATATGCAAGAAAGATGGATAGGTCTGATGTAGTCAGAACATTTAGAAAAAAAAAAAAAAAAGGAGCTGAAGCAAAATCCTCAAAAGATCCTGAAGTTGTTTGTGAAGTAGTATAGGAAATGTGGGTGCTGTTGAGCACACTGACTCATCCATCCTGTTGCCAAAACAAAAAGTTGACAACTCCTTTAGAGCAGGGAGGGAAAAGCACTAGACAGCGACAACCAATCACCAAAGTCATCCTCTCTGCAAGCTCTTTTCTAGTTGCACAAGGACCAAGAAGTTTATCAGGCAATCATCATGCTGCTTGCTCTTCAGTTCTCAGAGCACTTCATCCCCACAGAACCCCACAGTAATGATGCAGCACATGCTCCTAACCAAATTGATTGGGCTTTCATGGACAGTCAGGTAGGAAACTCCCAGCTCAGCAGTCTACGGATTTCAACTAAAACACAAAAATAAATGGCATCCAAATTGATGTCTAGCCATAATAAAAGTGTAAGGAACACATATTTTTAGCTTTTGACAACCACAATTTTCCTATTGTGTCTTTAGAAGTGAGTTATCCCATACTTGCCCTTTGGACTGCTTTGAACCATCTGTTGGTACTACTCCATGTGAAAAACTTAGTAATAGGATAGAGTGATTTGGAATGTGAGAAATATTCCCTCTACTTAAACTTTCACTAGTAACTGCTTAGAAACTTAGCTCTCAAAATTAAAACACAGAATAATAAGCCCAAGAAATAGGGCAGATTCTTCCAAAGCAAAATATAGATAGGATAACAGAGTTTGCTTGTTGCAAACATAGTTTGCTGGTTGAATAATGCAATAGTTGGTTGAATAACACTGAAATGCAACAGAGGGTGAATACCAATTCATACAAAACGATCTAGTTATGTACAAAATAGCATTTCTACTACCCTGATCTTTAACGTCAGCTGGCTCAAGTCATCAGCATACAGTGGAGACAAAATTGTGACCTAATCGCAGACTCAAAAAGCAGCTGAGACTGAAAGCATCTCTGGAGCTCATCAGGTCCAACCCCTGCTCAGGGCTATGTTCAGTCAGTATTTGAAGATCTCTGACGATGGAGATTCTACAGCTTCTCCAGGCAACCTGCTTCAGTGTGTGTCCAGTCAAAGTGTATCCTTACATTTAAACAGGATTTCCAGTGTAAGACTCAGTTTTCCTGATAGGAGTCCTAATGGCTTTGTTGCCACTGAGCATCACTGGGAAAGTCTGGCTCTGTTGTCTTTTCTCCCTGCATCACGCATTTATGTCTCAGCCCTCTCCAAACTGAGCAGCCCCAGACCTTTCAGTTTCTCCCTGTATGACAGATGCTTCAATGCTTTAGTCATCTTTGTGGCATCTCAGAAGACCAGCTCCACCATGTCTATGTGTCTCTCACACGAGGGATCCAAACATTGGATTCAGCACACCACATTTAACCCAGTGCTGGGGAAAGGATCACCTCCCTCTACTGATGTGACAGTCTGCTTGATGCAGCTCCAACTGCTGTTGGCCATCTTTGTTGAATTTGCTGCCTCATGCTCAACTTGGGTCCACTGCCCACTCTGCTGCCAACAACTTGGTGTCTTCCAGGGCCCTTTTGGCAAACCTGCTTCCCAACTGGCTGGTCCTCAACAGCCTGAGCTGTTGCTTGGGATTATTTCTTCCAAGGTGCAGGACTTCACACTTCACCTTGATGAACTTTCTGGTTTTCCTGTCAGACAATTATTTCTCCAGCCTGTCAGGGAAAACCATTTCAGCTGTGTTCCTGTGTCATTTCTGAGCTCTGAAGGGTCACAACCTATTTGCCTGCCCTCATCTCTAGCACTGATACACATTACTTTCATAAATGGCAGTCAAGTAATAATAACTAGAAAAAAAAAAACAAAACAAAACAACACACTGTATTAGTTTTTATTGAAAAGATGCACATTAAAAGTGTCATCACTAACTACACTAATGATGTTCTCATATCTTAATACCAGTGAATGAATCACAAAATTTGATTATGCTATTGCTGAGTGCAGCTAATAGCAAAACTGCAATTTTGCCATGTGAAAGAAAGACCAGAACCTCATGAGCAGATATGGTCTGATAATCAATAACACATTGCCCAAGGCTTCTGTGCTGATACGGTAGTTAAAGGATTCTTGTGTTTGTTTCTGACTCATACAACTGATGTTGACACATGGACACTATGTAAAGACTATGGATGAAGGGCATATCCTTGGCATAATTAAGCACCAGCAGATGTGTAGGATACAACTGGGAGCTACAGAGACAGAAACAAGAATCTGGCAGGCATGCTCCATAAATGCTCCCTTCACATACATGCATTCCTTCACACTTCTTTCTTAAGAGAAATGCTGCACGATTTGAGATAGCGTAGCCAGCAGTGGTTTCTAAATCATGAACACCCTTCCACTCTAGCTAATAGTGGATTTATTTGTAGCAGTCACCAGAGAAAACTATTAGATGATGGGCCGTTTGGCCTAGTGGTCATTGATGTTGTTTGAGACCACTGGTGCCTGTGTCAGGTCTGTGCTCCTTTTTGCTGTTCTCCTTGCATCCTCTTGCTTTTCCCTGAACTGCGAGTCAGTCCTAATTCAACCCTTGACACTGAATAGACTGCTGAAAGCAGAATGTACTAAAAGATGTGTCCTAACTGTATGTTTGAGTAAACTAAGGCATGTGCCTGTGATACTGAAAGAGGGGCTTTCTTTAATATGCCTCAGCATATAGTAGTGTCTTACGCAATAAACATTAGTGAAAATGTTTCTTAAAGATAACGTGCAAGAATAAACTGACAGTTCAGAACAATTTATTTATGGTATTTTAATACCAAGTAAATGCATTTCTCAAGTAAGAATTTATAAATCTGGCAATTTATAGAAAAAAATAAATCACAGCTTCACAAAAAGCTAACTTTCAACAGTTTGCTCCCCAAACCCCCAACACACAATTTACAATATAATTCAACTGTAGGTAGAAAGTTAACAGCGGTGTGAAATTCTTAAAAAATATTTGCAACAGCAATTGAAAATAAAATTATGATATTTACTCAGTGAAAAAGTAATAGGAATTATGTTTCCCAGTAAAGGATACATCAGAAAAGCAGCAAAAAATCCTCCTTCTACTTATTATGTGCCATCTTTCTCCCTGCCAGAGACATCACTGGCAAAGGCAATACTTCAGTATTAATCATTGCCACGTTCAGTGTTTTTGGCAAGAAGTCATACTCAGAAGTCCAGTGTTTGAAACGTGTTTTGTCCTCACCCTGTGTGCTCCAAAGGTTGCTTTTATTCCTGTTCTTTGGTGCAAGACCGAATCAGTGACAGCTCAGAGAAAGGTAAGTATAACGACTTTCCTATGGATTCATGTCCACTCTCCACTCTTTCTTCACCTCCCCAGCACAAACTGGAAAACCCAGAAGTTTCAGTTTCTACACCTCACATTTGAGTACTTACAAAAGATGAGGGATTTCAATGTTGGTATTTTATTTTCACCTGTGCACAAAAACCCAATGCAACCAGAGGAGGAAAAATGTTCCTCCTCTAACTGAATTAAAAATCACATTTTCAAAGGTCATTGCACTTGATAACAAAAAGGCAATTAATATGCATTTGATATTAAATATATTGTACAGACCTAAAATTCTGTGCAATCCATTGCTTCAGACACACACATACTTAACATTTTTTTTTAAAGCTAAGCTCCTAGTTGTAATTTACTGAAGAAAAACTTTTTAAAGAGCATTTTTTCAAAGACAAAAATTCCTAAGAACACATACACACACACTTATACACTCCCTTTAACTCCTAGTGCATTGAAACAGATCTCTGTTTTGAAATTCTCCACGTTGTTCCCACATTGAACTTTGCTCTCATTCTAAACCAATCCAGTTGACACTACACAAGAACGCTTTTTCTCTGGCCTATCCAGTAAGGCTGGCATTTATCATGCTGTTGGTACAGACATGAAAGCTGAAGATTATTGCCTCACTCCTTTACCTGAGGAGGATTTAAAGTTTTCCAAGTGGACGCAACTCATTTTTCGCTCCTGCTGCCTGCAAACTCCAAAGGCCAGTTTCAGGTGCCAAGTGTTTTCTATCCCAAAGCCAGGGTTTTGGGTTGTCTCTGCAAATTTTGTGACAATTTGCTGTTAAAACCACAGACATGGAATATGAGAGGGAGATATTGGTCCCTGAGATATACTAAATGAGAACAACAACTAATCACTGATATTTAATTTGGAGTGGACCCTCTTTAAGGAAAACTACGTTAGCTTCAACTTTCAAAAGTTTAACAAATAATCACTAAAAATACCCTTAAATTGGACAACAGAATATATACAGTATTGGTCAAGAAAAGCATATTGTACAGAGTAGTTTTAAGAGTTATCAGTTACTGAGAACTAAAGATCTGTCCTGTGAATAGCGTGCTGTATTTCAGATTTGTCTTTCAGGCAAATGTTTGTCTTTCAGATCAAACACAAAAGGCTGAGAACAAGAAGCATGACCTTAACCAAAACATCTACTTACTCCTACTTCTTTAAATGTACAGTTGCAGGACTTAGTGTCTTAAACACTTATAATAGGCAACTTGACTACAATTCCCAGAAGCCAAACCAAACTTTCAAACTTTCTGATTGATCAATTCAATAGTGCTCTGTTTGTCATATCAGTAAGCTTTTCATTGCCAAACCAGTGGCAATGTTTCTTGTTGTCAATACATTTTGAGCTAGTGTTCGAAGAACTTCTACCGTTGAGGGTGTTTCAGAACAGAGGCAACTAAAACAAAACATCTTTGGCAACCACAGATAGATGATAGATAATTCACAGCAGCTGGAAGAACAGTAAGACCTTTACAAAGTCCTATAGTGCACCATTCACTTTTTGCAGTTTGTTGTATAAAGTACCAAAACTCTGAAAATTTTAGCTAAACATTTGAAATATTACCTATGAAGTTGCAGGGTTTTTTATACCAACTTTCTCAAACAATGCTAGGGCTTGTGAAATTTGAAAGGGTGATATGAGATAGTCCACACAAAGGCCTCCAGTGCAGTTGGAGTTGATTGGGAAGGGAGCAGAGAAGTGATGGGCTAAAGACTTAAGTTTCAATGTACCACTTAGAGGTTGCTCAAGGACTGACAACAGATATATTCATGAATGAATTTAGTCACATAAGTAGTATCATCACACTGGTAGTGGAATCTCTTCAGACAAGGAAACAAAATGAAACAAACAAATAAACAATTCAGCTGCATCCAGAGAGTCCATTAAGCAGTCTCATTTATCTGTACCTTAAATAAGAAAGAACATCCATTAGTAACATAGAAATTAGTAATATTACAATACTCTGAATTGTTTTTAACACACTATAACACAGCTGAGCTATAGGAAGAACTCAGTATAGCCATCTTTTGTTTTCAATTAAGTCAATTATAAATTGAATTCTGCAAATATAAGCTAGCTCTTTGTGTGTATGAGAGGAAAAAAACACTAATAAAGACGGGTAAACTTTTAACAAGTAGAAGAATCAAAATATACTACGTTTATTTTTTTCTGAAAATGAGTTTAACTTTCAGAAATGTGGGAAATATTGCAACTAACTTGTATAACTTCATTGTGATGCCTGTATGTAAATTAGTACACAATGCAGCAGTAGCTATCACAACTCAAGAAAAATAATTCTTAAAAAAACAAATCAACAACAAAGGAATGTTTAAGCAGCAAAAATATGGTAGTACTTTCAGCATTTGGCGAGAATAAGAACTTTATAATCCAGATGTAGCATAAGATGCCACTCACAGCCAATCTTTTGGTTTTAGACCTCATTTGAGATATGCCCACTTAAAAGCATACAAATGCTTTTCTTTGAGTCTAACAAAAATTGTCACTTTCAGGTAACCTTCACCTCTCACAAAACAAATCAAAACAAAACAAAACAGAACAAATACAACAACAAAAAACCAGCTATAGCATATGCTGAAATCTCTCAGGTGTTCAGATCCAACACAAGAGAATCTTAAGGACCCCAGGTGCTGCATACAACTTGCTTTAGTAGTTAAATGAAGCAATATATTGTCCCCTTCTGTACTGGGGGAAAAGAATGAAGGTTATAAAATAAAGCGCAATAATTGACCCAATTTTTATGAAATTATGAAATGCAGTATTGTTCTTCATATTCAGCCATCAAGTGCTGTGTGAAAAAGCAGTTAGTTTAGGAGATCTCTAAACAGTTTTTTGCCACGTTAGTGTTCTCTATTCTGCCACAGCAGATTTCTGCTTCACATTTCAGCAGCTGTAAAAGCATGGCTCTGACCTACAGAGGCATGTTCAACAACAGCACTATTGCCATGCAAGACTTACTGCTGTTTCAGCACATGAAGGATGAATTCAATCCTCAGTAGATTCAATCCTCAAACTTATTATACTGATGACTGTGTTGCAGTTCTATTGTTTTGTTAAGAGATAAAATGTAACAAGTTAATTAATGGAGTCACAGTACTGAAGTTAGAAGGAAATTCTGGTCAGCTAGTTCTGGCATTTAAAAGCAAAAAGGTATTTACCATAGAAAATGTCTCAGGGGGACGCAGCCTTGCTTCAGTCAGCAACACAAACGTAAGGTACCACGTTCTACCCTAACTACAAAGCTGAGCAAAACTACTACTTGTAGGTATCATCACTAATGCTGTTCCTATTTAGATAGTGCCATTTTTTGGAAAAAAAACCACAAGAGCTGGAAATTTCTTGCAACTTCTCCTGTCTCAAGCTTACCATGTGAAAATAAAACAAAATACTCAGTAGATACTGTTTGAAAACAAGGGTAAAAAAGGTTATGAAGGCCACTATTTGATGAGATGTTTTCCACTTGTGGGTCTGAAAGGCACAGACAAGCTTAGGGAGAAGAAAAAATCTGCTTCTTTGAGATCCCACAGTGTAAGTTTAGATACATATGCAGATTACTGATTAGTTGATTTTAAAAAGCAGTAAATCAAGAATTTCAGTTGCCTATTTGCCCATTTAATATTGATCTTCATATTAATTCAAGCATCCCCATGTCAATTCTAGGATCCTCACCTAGAATTAATGCTCAAGTTGCTTAGTTCAGCTTGTTAAAAATTTACCCACTTATCACAGTTGGTTTTATGTTATATTTCATAATCAAGACTGTTCTCATTCACAAGATACATTCCACACTAGTAAATCAATGTCAAACCATTTATTCAGTTTGATTTTTACTTAGCATTGTTTAGTTTTATTTTAGTTCTCCTATGAGCTCAGACAGTCTCTTCCATGCAAGGTAAATTACAACTGAGTGACTAAATCAGGCTGAGTTGAGTAGAAACGGAGACAAACACATCATAACATCAGCATGCTAGAGTCCTCAACAGCCTGTTTAATAAATATCCCATCTCCCCAGAAAACAAAATAAAGAAAACTAAATAACCACCCCCTAAACAAACACCTAGAACCAGTGGTTGTACTGTAAAATATTTTCCTTGAAAAGACATTCTGAAACAGAACAACAAAGAACAAATGACATCACCATATAAACTTCTTTCTCTTACCAAATGAGTATCTTAATGCAGTATTTCATTTCTGGCATAAGTACCATCATCCATATTAAGAACTTTCTTTTAAGTAAGTATATTAATAGGTTGAAGATGCATCTTCATTGCATATGCACACACAGTCCCTCTACACAGTTTTTGTAGGTTTCAACCCCACTTTACTGGGGTTTCTTCTCTTCATACCTAATCAATTCATTTATCCACCAGAGTAAAGCACTAAAAGAACATTCTAAAGATTAAGTAGATGAAGGTTTCTAACCATGCAATAATTCCAAGGACAGCAGAACAACAAAGGGTTACATGAAGATAGGTTCCAAGAATAGAAGTCTTCCCTTTACTTGGACCAGAGCCTCAGAATAATTAAAAAGGTTATGAGAAGAAATGCAAGACAAAGGATGGAACCTACTTCTAACTGCAGTGCATGCTGCAATGCAGATAATACAAAATTCTGCTAGGTTGCTCCAAACTATATCCTTTTTATAAACTGTATACAGTCTGCATAGCTAAACAAAGGGAAGTGATAGCATTAGGATTAAAATGCATCCAACAACTATGAATTCCATGGCACATAAAGACGAATTCAAGATGGCATTCACTTTGTTCCCTTAGGCACTATATGACTAATTAACACCCTTAAACATTTGTGTGCATGAACAACAAAAAAGCATCAGTCATTTCTGCTGAAAATAAACAGTGGGGAAAAAAAAAAAAGCCCAAAAAACCAAAACCCAACACTTAAACTAGTGTAGATAGCTTTTTAAGTGATCTAGTTCAAATAGTAACTAACCTGAGACGAACTTTGCTCCGATTAACATTATCATGCTACTCATAATAAAAAAACCCAAAGGCAGACTACAGAAGATACTAGTGTCACCTGATGTCATCCAGAGGAAGGTGTTTCCAGTCAAGCAAATCAAAAGAGAAATATATATATAAATTGCAATATATGTGTTAAAAAATCATATGAACAGCAAAAAGTAACAATAGCAGTGACATTTGTAGAAAAATTTTAAAAGTTCATGCATAACCCCCCACAATAACTCAAAACAGGCTCTCAACAGGAGGTAAAATCCAAATTCCACCAACAGAACTATCTAGGTTGAGCCCATTTCCAGTATTATTCAATCTTACATGCTCCTAGCAGGCAGAAAACAAAGATCTAAGAAAAATGACTCTTTTTGCCCCAGTGTTGACACAAATAATGACTGAGGTTACGTGCTCATAAACATAATCCTTTTCTAATTAGCTGAAGAACTAATTTAATTTTCTGCTAGGCAGATTTTCTAAACTTCAAAAGAAAATAAAGATATATAGGTAAGATACATATCGAGCACTTGAGACTTTGGGAAATGTAACAGAGAATCTAGATATAAGGTGACTAAATCATACTACACAGTACTGAAGTGAATCTTCTTAGTCATGCTGTTACCTATTTCCCTTCCAAACAGCCTACAGGGAATTGTTTCTATAACTCTGATGTCAAACAAAATACCTAAATTTATGCACAAAATTTTAAAAGGAAATATTTAGCTTTAGCCTTCAACAATAATGTGAAAAACTTAGGCTGCAAGTGTGGGTTTTGGTGGCTGGGTTACATTTTGTAGATTCTTTACTTAAATCTCTTAATTTGAGTAGTAACTCCAAAAAAAGTGAAATGAAATGAAATGAAATGAAATGAAATGAAATGAAATGAAATGAAATGCAAGTCAAAGCCCACAAATTCTGTGCAGTAGGCTGATTCAGGCCTGAAAACTTAACCTGAATTAGAGCTTAAATATAAATTCAAATCAGAGATCATAGAAGACTGCGAGTTTTATTTAATTGAAATCTAACAGTGGTGTTATCAGTACCTCCTTTATATGCAGCAAATGATAAAGGAAAGATACAGCAAGAAAAATTACTGGATGAAACTTTTCTCTTTTGCAACATGAGTAGAAGAAAGTTCACAAGATTCCTGCATTCTCTCTTCTTTTACATAAGAATTTTTTTTCTCTTGTAAGCCATCACTATTCTGAAACCTACAGTTAGTCTTATTTAATGCCCTCTGATTCTAGAAGCCTGCAAAATATTGCTTGTATCATCACTTCAAGAGGAAGACCTATATTCCTGATTTGTTTCCAAAGTGTTTTTAAGTGATAATTTTCAAATAACTGGAAAAATTGATGGATGGTAGGAATGGAAAAGGTCACCAAACTCAAGATTAATTAACTAGGCTAGCTGACTAATTAATAATATTTGATCTGCAATAATGTTTATTTTACCATTTGAAGGAGCTTCAGATGTTTCCCAGTCCATAGATTTCATCACAGCTTTCTTCCATCTGGCATAGCGATATTCACTTTCTGAAATTCAGAAATAAACAGAAAAATCTGTTAGTGCCTATGAATTCAAATTTAAGCATTTAAGCTTCAAGGATTACACTATTAGCTTTTCATCCTTTTCCATAATACAATTTTTTTTGCCTCAAATAAGTATTATAAAATATTATTTTGAATGCATTACATTAAAAAAAAATAATAAGCCTTACAACAACCAGAAAAAGAAAAATCATAGTAATGTACAGTAAGGAGAAATAAATTTCAAAAACACTTTTCTGAATGTTCAACAATTAGAAGATGTTCAAGTAAGACAAAATGAAGCAAATGTTATCCATGCAGAAGCCCCTCAGCACTGAAAATACTGTCTTGAAGTAGGAATCCTAGAAGTAATTATAGTCAAAATGGTAGGATAAAATTCTGCACAAGAAGTTAAAAAATAATTGGAAAGACAAAATGTGTTTATCTTGCACATGGATTAATTATGTCAAGTATACTCTTTTTGCTTCTAAAAGCACTTACGAATGATGAAAAAGTTAGCTAAAATAATGATCAGTGTAGGCTTTTTAAAGACAAAATAGGAGTCTCCCACAAGTACTCTGTCCTTCCCAAATCTGTGAAAACACTTAAACTCACAAGAGCTTTAGGAGACATTCTTCTCCATAAAAAAAAACCTTCAAGATTTCTTTGATTTCCTTCCTGAAAGTCAAAAGCCACTAACTAAGAGCCAGGTACTGAACTTCTTTAAAAAACTAAAAAGAGAAAAACCAAAACAGCTCAACCCTGTGGGGATGTATTGTTTTAACCTTTTCCCAGTCCTACCAGTCAAATGCTCTACTAGTCAACCCTAAATAATCGAACCAGCACGTGGAATGCACTTCCCAAAACCGAACGCTACAAAGCTGATCGTTAACATTTGTAAGGATATTTACATATAGCTTTTTATATGGGTATGTCAGAATGCAACAACGAATAACCTGATCTGTTGAACATAAAACAGTTTACAGATTCTTAGAGTATATTCAAAGGTTTTACCCTCTGGGTTGATCTGTGGTTCAAATCGTTCACACGTCACTGCTGTCAAATCTCCAGGATTCAGACTCCAAATTCCAACTCCTTCTGCAGCTCCTGCTGCCATAGCAGCTCCTAGAGCTGTTGTTTCAGGCATTGATGGCTTCACTAAAGTGAATCAGAGAGAAGGCCATGATGTTTTTTAATGAAAGTCAGATGACATCAGAACTAAAGACTTCATATGTATCTATATTTTCTATAACTGCTATATTAGCTTCCCTTACGTTTACCAACTGCAAACATCATTTTATTGCCATTGACATGATTATTAAGTTAGTTTCAACTATGAGTCTTCCAACATGTTGAAATACCTCGTATCACAACTTCCCTCAACACTGAATCATGCAATTGCTCACTTTCATATCATGTGTAAGGCTTCTGACCTCTACCACCAGTTTCTTCAGCATACTTCTGTTAACACTAGGATTATTTTGTTGTTCTTTTCCTCCCTAAAGCAATTACCAGTGGCAAAGTTATCCATTTTGTTCTCACGGTCTAGATGTTTTGGTATTACAAGTGTTTTTATTCAGAACAGGCATCTTAAAAGATGTTACATGCCAGTACTTAATATCCTGTTTGCTTTCCACTGTCACTCTAGAAGAACATTCAACCCCCAGGCTGTAAATCTGTGCCATTCACTGTTTCATGTAGGGAACTCCTTAAAAGCTGATCTTACTGATCATGCCCTTTCAACTGCTAAATTTAGGCACTAATAGTATGGACGCTGTGCACTATATACTACTAAAGGCAAGCTATAACATCTCTATTTAAAAACTTTCCAATACCTTGCTATCACTGAAGTGTCTCACATGCTCATGCATAAAAGCAGAGAAGGTGCAAAGCTCTGACTGATCTCTGTCCAAGATTCTCAAGGTCAGCAGTCAGAGCTAACGATTTCATCAATTTAAAATTTGTCAGATGGTTAGAATTTGGTATGACAACTTCAGAGTTCAATACTATCATAGTGCTATAACATTACAACACGAGATACGAGAGTCTGAGGTGTTCTAGAAGAATGAATCTTGATATAAGATCTAAAAATATTTCTGAAAAGAAAAAAAAATAAGAAGTCCATCACTCGCCACACTGAGAAGAGCAATCTGAATGACCCTCATCAGCCATTATGAATGAATGCTGCTTCCAGCTTTAAAAAGAAAATAGGACTCGTAACTTTATCTTACCTACTGGAATACAGAGGATGTCTGACTGGAGTTGCATGAGAACTTTGTTATTGGTCATTCCTCCATCTACTTGCAACTGACTTAATGGTATCCCACAGTCCTTGTTCATTGCATCTAAAATCTTAAGAGTAATATATGTTAAGATTTAATTGCAGAAAAATCCATGAAATTCTCAGAATGTAAAATACTGATAAGTCAACATTTGCTGCAGTGTTAAGCAGATAATTCTCCTTCCCATATACATAAAGATGGCAAAACAATAGTAATAATGCAGTTTTGTTTCATGTACAGCAAGTGCATTCAATTTACCACTGAAATCCTAATGTAGGATTTGCTTATTTGCTTATTTATTAGCCTTTTGCTTATATGGTCTGAAAAGAACTTTGAAAAGGAGCTGATGATCACCATGAACTTTGTTAAAACTAACAAGGAAGGAAGTCCGCAGCATTATCCTACAATCATCTACATGCAGAATGTTGAGTTTTATATGGTCTTGTAATAGTATTCAATCAAATGGCTGCCTTACATTTTTACTGTTAGAATATCATTCTTGAGAAATGAACTCTGCATTAACTACTGCAGAATGACTTTCTCTTTGTAATTTTTAATTTATTTGATTTAAAAAAAAAAAGCGTGCTTTTCTCAGCTTTAAATGACAAAGCAAAATACATAAACCACAAAAAAAAAGAAACTTCAATGCATGTTACTACTATTCTGTAGTTCACAAGGCACTCAGTTATACAGTCTTTACTGTGAAAGGTCAATCTATTTATATGGAAAAACAAGTGGGTTTGTAAAGCATGAAAAACTATACAGAAGTCAGTTATCTAGTAGATTTTTATCTAGTCCTAGAAAGTAAGTCAGGAAGGAACCAGAAGTATTGACATAAGATATCTAATAGTTAAAAAGAAGGTAAAAGGTCAGTTTTCATTGTGGCAGGAACTGTTTATAGACCTGCACATTACATTTACATTACAAATAACTTGGAAAATAGGATAAACAACAGGTTATGACAGCATGGCAGCTGACAGCACTAAGTAATAATGCTCCTCACCATTTGTTTCCTTCAAGTGTACCATTGTACATTCAGCTACACTGAATTTCACCTGCTTTTCTCTACCATTCAGAACTTCAGCAGTGCCTCATAATCTCAGATTTATGTATACTGTTGGAGGCTCCAACTTTATCAACTAGTGAGACCACATTGAATAATGTGATACACTCAGTAGAGATTAAAAAATGAAAAGAATGCTAGAAATGAGGAGGTGACGAAGGAACAAAACAAATCATGATCATGCTGTTACTATCTCTACTGTAGTGAGATTAGATTAAGAGCAAGGCACCCAGGTAAACTGTGTCTAATGACAGCCGTGTGCACCTCTTAGAAGGAAAAAATTACCTTTTTTTCTATAATGCTTTCTGAGAGAAAAAAAAAATAACAAGGATCATCTGATCACACAAAGGGTCACCTGATTGCACTTTTTGGATAAAAAAGGAAAAGAAACTGGATGGTACAGTAAAAGAAAAACAAAAAAACCCAACCAAATGAATGCAAATTTTGAGTCTTCCTGAAGAATGTGTAAGACTCCTATTTCAAGGGGAACTAAAACAGAATAACCTTGTTTCTGACAAGACAAAGCTAAGAGTGTATTTCTGAAAAATGTATGTTTTATCTCTATCATCATGACATAATTTACTAACATAAGCACTTCCAGAGACCTAATAAGGAACTCCCATATCTGTGAAGTGTTAGGTGTTAATATGTCCAAAGAGTTAACTTCACCTTCAGCCAGAAAGCTTTATTCCCCTCCCTTCTACTACCAGCCACATGCTGTCTCTTGTTGTGACATTTGCTACAATCCTCTGCGAGGCAGCTGAGGTCATTAATCCAGTAAAAAAACAGCTCAGCAAAAGAGGGATAATTTTTTGCTGGAAAGTTCATTGAGCTGTCACGTGAGATGGAATGGATAGGAGGAGGGATAAGGAAAGAGAGGAGCAGACAACGAACTAGGCTATCACTTCAGTTGGCTGTAATTACACTTTGACTTCTACTATCAGAATTAAGTGATATAAACTAAGTTCCTTTCATGACTTTCTGAGGACTCAAAGGGTGTTAGCATAGCTTCAAAAACATCTGCCCTGCTGAAGTCTCTGGCTTTCTTTTTCCATAGGACTATGTCTTACTTTACTCGTTACGAGAGAAATAAGAAGGCTGTTTTCTTCCTCTTACACAGTGTTAGCTGGATATTGTTTTAAAACAAATTATGTTTACATAACACCATCTTAAAAGCATGAAATCATATTAAGGTTTGACTCCTACCCCTTAGAGTCCATGATTTTCATTTTGTCATATACTTTTACAGAACACAAGGAGCATAAATTGATAGTAGATGGTGATAAAAATATATTAATGCTTAGAACATTCTGATATCATGCTTTTTAATTAGGTTCCAGGATTAACTTTGAGTGTGAGATTTAGTTTTGTTTTTGCAGAACGTTGGCAAAGACAATTAGATATGTAGTGAACAGGAAGTGAATATGGATTTCCCTTGATATGTCTGCTGCTCTTGTGTACTGAAAGTAACATCAATCATATCTGTCAGAGCACAGGCTATAGAATGTAGTCTTCTATGATGTAGAACTAATGCTACATTTCAGTTTTGGCACTGCCTTGTCATTTTAAAGTTTGTCTGTTCTGCATCTCATGACATTCACAAAATGTGTTCACCTTATTTTAAGTGTTGAGAAAAACCATAAAAATCATCTACCACCCAACCAGATCATTGTAGCTAAGTTCACAGGAACAATTCTTCAACACAAGTATCATGTAAATTAGCATACAAGTGTGGTATGAAGCACCAGACTTTCAGTAAACCTTTTTAATCCTCTCTCTTTCTGAAGATTTACAGTTAAATATTATCATACTAGTTTACAATGAATTTAACAACTAATTTGCTTTTACCTCTCGTGTTTGGAAGCAGACTGCTTCTAGTGCAGCAAAGGCAATGTGGTTTTTGTTTGTAAACTGGGTAAGGCCACAGATAATGCTGTTGAACAGAGGAAAAAGAAAACCAGCAGTTAGAACATCTTTTCCAGAAAATACTTCAGACTTAGGCCTTTTAATTCACAGCTCATTCAGTTCTGTCATATAAGGACTGCTTTTTAATGTTAAAAAGCTTGTTTCTTTTTAATCTGAGTTCTCTTATCTCTGCAATAAGCTGTTTTCAGTGTTCAGTCAATACAATTCATTGCCATAATTTACAAAATTATTGTCAATGTGCATGCATAAAGGGTGCATATTCATACACACACATACAAATTCAAGTGTTCTTCCCTTAAGTAATGTATGATCTAGGACAACTTCTATTTAAAAAAAAAAGCATCAGTGGTCACTGAAATCTTAATAATTCTCTCATGCTTTCAGTTCTAAAGGAAAAGCCTGGCTGGGTCAATGCTGTGTATTTGGTGCTGGATACATGCAAGAACTGAGATATTAAAGGACATTTTTAGTTACTGCCATTTCAAAAATCAGCTTATAATAGTTAAGAAGCTAAGGACTGTGATCTGAAAAATTGTTAGAATACCTATGTCAGAGCTTTTTTATTCCTTATGTACTAAAAGCACCTAATTTCTAAGAACAGGACTTCCAGGCGTAGGGAACTGGATATTCTTAAAGATCTCTTTTTTCAATTTAGGAAAGTTATTGTATATGTATTATGCTTCTGTGACTTTCATGGCATGGTCTGGTTTCAGCAATAGCACACAAGCTCACAATAGTAGAAAACAACAAACAGAAGGCTACTACTTCAGCTAGTAGATCTAACTAGTACCAGACTGTGAAGTCTTAACAAAAGAAAGGGATTGGGAGGCATTATACTGAAGAGTGTTTCATAGACATAAATCAAAGAGGAAAAGGAGGTGAAATAGGGAACAATTTAGAAGGTTGAATCATTTGATATAGTGAATGCAACAGCTGTGGGAATGCTGTTGCTCAGAAAAATAAATCACCACTAATTTCTTAATTTTCTTCTTTTATTGCCTGACAGTTCGCAGGTATACAGAACCAGAAATGAGTGAAGTAAAAAAAGCTGGCTCTTTCCATGTCGTGAATCATAGAATCATAGAATGGCTGGGTTGAAAAGTACCACAATGATCTTCTAGTTTCAACCCCCTGCTACGTGGAGGGTCCCCATCCAGCAGACCAGGCTGCCCAGAGCCATATCTCTGGCCTTGAATGCCTCCAGGGATGGGGCATCCACAACCTCCTTGGGCAACCTGTTCCAGTGCGTCACCATCCTCTGAGTGAAAACTTCCTCCTAATATCTAATCTAAACTTCCTCTGTCCTAGTTTATGAATGATAAAACTACCCTTGTTGGTCCCTTCCAACTCAGGATATTCTATTACTCTGTGATTCTGTGAACTGTCCTCCAAAAAGCACAACCTTGTCAAAGTGTTTTCCACCCTCCACCCCCTGCTTCGTTTTTAAAATTTTTAGAGGTGGGTGGAAGGGTGATTGGCTGAGTCAGCAAGTCCTTGTTCTTCTATCAGTAGCAGTTGCTGTTTTGAACAGATTAAATACGAAGGAAAAACTGTGGTTGCTTGAAGATGCTATGGAGAATCAAGAAAAAAAAACAAAACCAAACAACAACAATTTCTCATACCTGAAAGGACTAGTGTTAGTATTTGTAAAATAATTACATTTTCCTGCAAATGTGATGCTTATTCAGATCCTTACCCCCTTGCACTGGGTTCCCAGTAAGGTGCATACAGTCCTGAAAATGCTGGCACAAAGTAGCAGCCATAAGAAGTTCCCGCTTCTGCAGCCAGTTTTTCTAATGCACACACAAATAGTCTTTACTTAGCTTTTCACAACGACACCAGCATTTAAACATGACATTCAAAGATATTATTATTTAAAGAGAGAGTATTTATAATATGTTAGGTAGCTACAAAAGCAATCAAGCTGTTACGATTAGAAAATACAACTAACTGGCCATCTCTGCATCTGTAACATGATGTCCAATTGCAACAATATGAACGGAAGATGGGGCATAGGAGGCTCTGGTAAATGTAAAATCAAAAACAAAAATGATTTACTTGACATTCTGACCTAGATTCTTTGCAGTTTTCAAAGGGTATGCTGCAAATAATTCTAACTTCAAAGGTCACACTTGCATTTAAGTCAAGGCAAGCATGTAAAACTGGATCAAGACCAAAGAGAGTTAAGAACTAAATTCCCATTAATTTCAAATGGATTCAGAGTCCTAAATTCTCATCTTAAGTATATAATCACCCGGCCAACTACAAGGAAATGTGAAGTTTCTTACTATCTGAGTAGTAATATCAGATACCTGAACTCCCCAATATTAAAATATGTAATTTTAGAAGTTGTATTAAAGCACTCAGCATGACAAATGAAGTATTGTTAGTGCACAGCTCCTTCCTATAACAAGTAAAGAAAGTATATTTTTTCAGCTTTTGAAAATTTCTTTTGTTTGCACTGATCAAACCACAGCAACAGAGAGGAAAGGTAGGGAAATATAGTCAGAAATTCTTTTTCGAATGATACTTTCATACAGAATCCACTTAAAGGAGTGAAGGGAGGAGGAGAACATTTTCAAGGAAACAGGAAATGATGACAGAGTCCCACAAGATTCTAACAACAAGGACAAGATCAAAGTTCTTGAATCCCTGACCTTTCAGTGGTTTAATGAAACTTACGAAGCCAACAGGTACCACTGTGTTTCAATAGGTGGCTAATTCTAGTGACAGTAGCTTGTATTCTTCTGTATACAAATACAGGTGAGAGTGAGTGTTTCTCATAGAAAAGCAGACTGTTTTACATTTCTGCTTAGTTTTAAGTCCAATCTGAATTTTGTTTTTTTCCCACTTTTCAAAAATATATCAAATTATTAAAAAATTTAATGAATTGCTTTTCAATCATAAATCTCATTGTATCAGTCACTTTGAAACTCATAATGCATATTTTTGATGTTTTCTCCTTTTTCAAGGTTTGGTGGGTTCGTAGTTTCTGTGTTACACACCAGTTTATTTCAGTTCAGCTCAAGCAGAAAAAATCAGCAACACAAATTCTGAAGGAATTATAGCCAAAACAGGCAGCCATTATGGGTATCTGCTCTAGGATTGATTGGGGCTTTCAGTAAATTGGTCTAATGGGAAGTGTCCCTGCCCATGGCAGGAGGGCTGGAACTAAATGATCTTAAAGGTTCCTTGATTCTATGATTATGCACAATTCCTTAGAGTCAACTTTGCAAAGATTTCTACTTCAATGGACATGAATACTTCTGCATCAATTGTTGCAAACTTAGGGCTTCAGATTGTCATGTTTATTACAGCAAAAAATATGTTTATTGGTTCAGGATCTTACTTTGGATTTTGTAACAGGGACTTATATACTCTTGGCTCTGTAAAACTGAAAACTGTACTAATATTGCAAGTTCAGCATCTTACTGAGAATCTGCTTGCTAGGGAAAGTCGACAAAGGTTTTCAATGATGTTAGTGATATGCTGCACGAAATATCAGTGAAAGATATCAATAAATGGGCTGCGCAGCATAATGTATGTATGCATCTTCCAGCTATTCTTTACTTGAATATTTTGAGCTTTCATTCCATAGTAACACAGCCATCAGAACTCAACAACTCATCAAGCAAGTTAAAAAGAACACTTGAAATTAACAGCTCCAAATTGCAAACACTCACCAACTTCCTGTGAAGTTTTAACAATACCTAGATTGTCCCTCAGCCAACGAACAACGGCACCAGCTATTGCAACAGATCCCTGAAAAAAAACAAGATCACTACAATTACATGCAATTTTTCCATGGAGAGGAGTTGCCTAACTTCCTAAGCAATCTTCTGGGCTCCTCTAATTTAGGGACAAAACTAATTAAATAGAAACAGCCAGAGAGACAGAAAGTTTAGTCACTTTCATTTGACAGCAAAATTCCTCTGTTGGCTCAATGTCCCTGAATAGTTCCGTCTTATCAAAGATAAAATTGCATGCCCCCCATTTCACAGTAAAAGCTCATTTGGGCTTCTATACAAGACAGTCTCAAGTCTACTAAACTAAGCTTCAAGTGAAATGGGAACAGCATTATATTCTCACTGTAAGCCATTGCTAAAAGACAACAGGTGTTTTCTAAACAGCTAGCTCTTACAGTTAAAACATATGGGTTTGATTAAAACAAGAGCTTGAATCCCTATTTTCCACTCTAGAAAGTGTCTTAACCGTAAGATTATTCGAGTACGAATGTAGGAGTAGAAAGAACACAGTATCTTCTGTTGAAGACTTTTTTTCAGACAATATCATTAAAGATGATGATGAAGAAAAATGCACATAAGCAAATGTGAGCGTGTGGAAATAAAAGTCACTCTCAAACAAGATCTAAAACAAACCAGACCTCTCACATATATGTACCAAATGAAAATCCCAAAGTTGCCAGAACGTGGCAAATACAACTTCCCACATCCTGGTAACTGTAAGCCACAAATTATTTTCCCAGAGAAGAAAATCCTGTGTGTTGTCTTGGTCTCTTCAACACAGAAAACACAGGCTCTCTTCAAAAGATCAGTGGTAGCAGACAATTCAGGATGCATTTTTAAAAATAACTATTAAATCAAGCCCACAAATCAACAGAGATGGAAGAATAATTCTGTTGAACCCAATGAAGCACTGGTGTCAAACAGATGTTGAGCTGTTCTGTGCTTCAGAGGCAGAGTTTTAGAACTATGAAACTTTAAGTTATAGGTAAAGTCCAATTTTCTACAGATTTTGGATATCCTCAGAGTTGTGTGGAGAACTGAGGAACTAAAGGAACTGGAAATAGGCACCCATGTTTTAGTAGGTAAAAAGAGCTTAATTGTTAGATGTATCTTGTCTCAGAAATTTGGCTCCGATTTTTAAGTTTGAAGTAAAAACCATTAGAATGAAATTAAAAATAGAAGACATCTAGTCATGCTTATTTTTTTTTTTGTCAGAACAGCTAAAACACTCAGTATATTTTCCTTTTTAAACTCCATATTGGTTTGTTTATTTACTTAGAACATTTAAGAAAGACTGTGAAACTGAAAAAAAATGTTTCAGACATTATACCCAGAAATTCAATGTAGAATTATTTTTTTTAGATTAAGTGATCTGGGTTGGAGATAGGATAACCAAAACCACATACAAGCCCTGAGGCGCAAAGCTATAACAGAAAGCCATTTTAATTTCTGTGCAACTGAATGGTTTCACTGGAGATAACAGAAAGATACTAAAAAGCAAAAGTAATCATAATTATGTATCTCTATAGAAAGGAAGAAATTATTTTACTTACTTCTAATGCGTAACAAACAGGTTTGTCTCTGCCCAGTTTGTAAGCTATCGTGGTTAGAAGACCATGGTCAGAAAACACGGACTAAATAGGGTAAGAAGAAAGAAAAAACACAGGCAGAAAATATTTACTTAAGCACATGCAAATGATAAAAAAAAAAAGAGATAAAACTGAGGAAAAAAAAAAAGATATATAGAAAGTTTAAACCAAATAAATTATAGAAACAACTGAGATAAAACCCTTGAAATGCTGTGTTTTAATTTTTCATTTTCATTAGCTGCCCTGGATCTTTCCAGACTTTCTATACCAAATAACTAATAACTAGTACTACAAACAAGTGTGAAAGAATAAAGAATAAAATAGCCAAGACAAAGAATAGAGCATGTAAGTTACACAACACTCAGCATTTTTTGAGTGAATTTAAGAATTATACACAAGGGAAGTGCAAGACACTTACTATGAGAAGTTCACTAGGCAGCTAGGAAATAAGAATCTTACTTAAACACCTTAAACAAACTATTACTTCCTTTTCTTTTCGATTTCAATATGCAATTCAATATTTTCCCTTACCTCCAGCAATACAATTATTGCTAATAAGATTATGATTTATTTATAGTTATACTCAACTATTTAACTGAAGTTTGCTAAAAACAAGTGAAAAATGAAAAAAAAACACAACTGACCTTCTGACCTGTATTGCACAGCAAGAAACATCCTGTCCCATACCTAGCATGAGAGCAAAGAAAAGTTAAAGCTAGGACATTTAAGAGATAAGCAGTTACTGCAGCTCTTGAATTCATTACTTCCCTAGGGAGACACCACATTTTTTCCTCTCGAAATGTATGTTACCATTGATAGATGATGAAACCATTCCAACACAGTTTATTTAAATGCAGCTTGAGGCTGAAAAATCTAGTTCCACACTTCTCTCTCTGATTATTTCTTGGACAGTAATTATCATGGAGCAGACAGAGCTGAAAGCTGAGTCTGAATTCTTCTTTGCTGATTGTGTTTACTTACTTCAGTTTAAGCTGATTATGAAAGCCACTTTATAAACTAAATATTTCACAACATTGAGTTCAAACTTTTGAAGATGAAAATACAACAAACTTTGCTCCTGTCACAAAGATTGCTTTTTTTAAAAAACACATTCAACTTCTAAAAATTGCACGCATCTCATTTGAAGCACTACATGTATATGTGCTCCCAAACATACAAAAACATAGTTTAGTAGCCTCATACTCTGTGTTCATTTATTCTAACTAATTAAGAATTCATTTTTATTTAATAGTCTGAAAATCCAAGGCTTATAAATATTAACGAAAAAGTCTTCAGTTATATTTGTAGAATAAAAAGGATAAAGTAATATCACAAATCAGCTAGAAATCTCATCTGATACTTAGCTTTCGGAAGATATTTTTCCAAACATCTCTTATTTTATCAAAATATTTTTTATAAAAATACTTTGTGAAAAAATTGCTCAAAAGCATGTTTGTTTTAAAAAAATACAAAGCTACTAACTTTGATTTGTGCATAAGTGTAAAAGATAACTTGAAGGTTAATTAGCAACAAGTATAAATTAATGTGTAATTAAATCTGTGAAAGTCCAATGCTTTTCCTCAAATAAATATCTGATTACACCACTTGCCTGATTTAACTGATCAGCTATTTTAAACAAGGGAAAATAAGATGCTGAGAACTAGGAAAAAAATCAGATTTAAAATTCTCCATGACCAATACACAGAACCAAAGCTAAGCACTGTAACTTAGATGAACATTTCCTATCTAGCAGTAGTGTGTGGTTTTTGTCATTGAAATCTATGCACACTGCCTGTATTTGTTTAACTTTAGATCACACTATTTAAATAGCAACTACTTAGCTCTGTGTTTTGATGTATTTTAAAATTAAAAACCTTCTTTCACACAGAGATATTTCCTCACAGTGACTTTGTTCCAAACTGCACATCACAAACTATTTTACTTTAATATCTTCAATATTTTATTCAAAACTCAGGACACCGTTTAATTTCTGGATCAACACAGTTGAAAGGTAGAGCTGTAGTTATGTGGTAACTACAAAAGTATTTGGCAGTTAGCTCAGAAGAGAACATAATACTAAATTTAAAACAGAGCAGCAACCTACTGTTTATCTCACAACATTCATCATAACCTACGTGTTTTTTGCCTGCCCATCTTGGAAGCACATTTGCCCAACAAGAGCAGCAGACTGGTCACCCAAGCACTGAAAAAAAGAATTTTTTTTTTTAGCAAATGTCTTCATATGAATCACATTCACCAACAAGTAACATGAACAGATATATTTAACCATAGCTCAAACCTATTAGGAACACACAGCTAATTGAAAGTGAGGAAAAACCTGTATAGATAATCCTCTTTTCTCTGTAAGAACTGCAAATAAAATGTGTCATGATGCTTATGGTAAACTAAAAATTATTTCATGCATGTTGTGGAAAAAAAGATGAGAATCTGCCTCAAATTTTTGGATTATGTATATACGGAATCCCTTTTACATATAAAGCAGAGCTTGGTTCTATTTTGTAATGCTATTCATTTCCTTAGAGAGTCTCAGTTTTGAACGTAACTACACATAAGCGTTAGAGTTGACAGCTGTATTTCCACAGCCAGATCTTCTTCAGTATAAATTCCACTTCAAAATTTATTTCCTGTTAAACATGAAGCTAAAACACTTGGAAACCAACAACATTTTTGTAGCAAGATTCATTCTTCTTAAAAATTTTTGCAGTGAAGTTATGTCTCGCAACAAAATTGTTTTAAAGTTGACTTACCCCAGAAATTGGTACACCTGTCAAAGCTCCAGATTTCTGAGTCATAAAAAGAGAAAGAAAAGCTCCAGATCAGCTTTCCATTAATACAGTTTCAGGCAATCAAAAAGAAGCTAAACTTGTATTTGACTCGGGAGATAAAAATTTGCATGCATAAGGAAATAGATGAAGTCATACAAAAATGGATAGCCACTAATGCTGTAGAAGTTGGCTTCAAAGTATGTATTTTTTACTATTGCAATTCTATTAAAAATCTCTACTAAGAGACAGAAAATGGATGTAAGATATTGATAAGGGAGACAACATCCTGGAGAAAAATACTTCTTCTAGGAGAAACTTTTTTTCTAGGAATTTGTTGAATGTAGCATGAAGTGAAGAACTACAGCTACAACACATAAAGACAGATTTCTGGGAGGAAACAGAACAAAATAACACGTGAGAGAAGTAAGAAGGGAAAAAAATTGAGTAAATTCTGTTAAGTTATATATATGAAAAGCGGAGATTCATAACATAGAGTCTCTACTACTTACTGCTTAAAATTAACTACATCTTAGTTAATACAAAGAATATAGAGGTAAATGAAACCCAGAGCTTTCTTCTTTTTATATCACTATAAATAGAAATGCATTGTGCTTGGTTTAAAGTCAGTGAAAGAAAAAAAAGTAAGGAGGCTTTCATGCCTAAAGGGTCAAATAAACAATATGATTGAGCAGAGTTGCACATTGGACTTATGCAGCTCATTAGGGTAGGAAATAGGGCAGGAAAGAGTCACATGAACTATATGGCTGAGTTGCACACTGGACTTCAGCTTCACGCAGCTCATTCCTAAAATAGAGTAGGAATTTTACAGGTACACTTGATGTCATCTCAACAGTTCTTAATACATATGTTTTTGAAAAGACAGTGTACAGAAGACAAGGTGCAGTGTAACATGCAGTCTGTGTCAAATTTTAAATGCGGAAGTGTAACAGTAAAGTGAATAGAAAAAAAGTAGTTGTTATGCAAAGACAGATGCCTGACTTTAAGATACAGCATTTCAAGTGGATTAGAACCTCTTCCAAACACTACCACATAGCTTTTCAGTTGCATTCTCGCAGTAGGTATCATAATAAATATATATCTTGACAACATTTATCTCTGTCTTTAATTTTTTTTCTTTATAGAACTGTAAAAATGAATTTTCAGTGAAGCCATGCAAGTGCATTTCCAATCTGATTTTTTTCTATTCACACTTAATTTAACTGGATTGAAGGTAATTCACTTTAAAAATGCACTAAAAACCCCAGTGTAATTCAGTATAACTCTTATTAGACAACAGATCTATTTTTTACTTCAATATGAAAATAAATATTCAGCAGCTCGCAAACTAAAGCACACACATACATAAGCAGTATATTTTCGATTTTTATATATTTTATATTTAATATTTGTATATTTAATATTTTGTATTTTAGAAACAATTTTGTTGTGAACGCTCATTGCCATATCTCAAATCTGGAAATACTTGCAAGTTTATTGGACTAGAAAGTGTGCTTTTACTAATCCTAAAATCAATGGAAATGCATAGCATATAAACAGAGTGGATAACATACAGGTGGTGAGCCTAATAGAAGCCTTTACTCACCAGGCTAGGACAGATTTTCTAGTCAGCAAAAGGAAGAAAAGAAAAAAAAAAGTGGGAAGAAAGGGGAAAAGAAACACAAGTACAAATTTAAACTGACCAGCTATTCTGCTTCAGGTGCCACAATGTAGTATCTCATCTCTTATTACCTTACTGCCTAGAAGTATTTTGTTTGCTCCACTCATTCAGCTTAATTACAACTCACACTTATCTGATGTTTCAAATTAGTGAAATTCAGTAATGATTTCCAGCAGCATCTTTAATGACATATTAGTAAAATTATTTACGTTTCAGGCAAGTGGGATTTACATTTTAAATAAAAATATTTTAGTTTGTCCTAATTAGAAAATGCTTGGACGTCCTTAGAAAACAACGGTGTGAAATGCCAGGAAAAAATAAAGAAATCACAATATCCAGTTTATCCTATTTTAAGGATATTCTTATTTTAGGAATAAATTATCTGTCACTTTAACAGAAGAGTAACTGCTACATCATATTAAATCTGAAATCTCAGGCCCATGACAAAAATCCATTTTTAACTCCTAAATAAACTTCACATTAAAAAAAGCTCATTACTTTTGATCTACTAATTATACTTTGCATTCTGAAAGGTAGTTTCCACAGTACTTGTCAACAAAAATCAAATTTTGCTGCTTATCAAAAACCTCTGCCATTTGTTTTGTCTATTTGACACTTAACATCTGGCAGATATTTACCTTCATATAATATCTTACAGCAGGACATATTGACATACTAGTCATAAATCAAACAATATTAGTCCAGAGAAAGCCACTAGTTCGAATGAAAATTCTCTCAATTGTTATTAACATATTTTTACAAGATAAACACACATGCACAAACATACCATCAGGCCATAAATCTCAGATGAGCTTCGTACTTTTGGAAGTATTTCCATAGGAATATCAAAGAATCTGAGCACAATACAAAATAAGGTATAGATATGGTCAGTGCTAAATCAGGAAGGATTTTGTATTTATTTTCTTAAATAAGTTTAAGGTATAAGGAAATAAAATATAAAGGGGACTTAAATATCTAGGATTTCATGCATATGTTTCTCTATTTCTCATAAATGTGACACTGAACTAGAAAGTAAAACAGAACATATTTGGGTATTTTGAAGACACATCTAACTCTTCCATATGAGAAGTCATTCCTCTTCCAACACTACATTTATAATATAGTGATTAAATTTAAACTCAAAATAGAAACACTATAATTGCAACTGAAATTAATGAAAAAACAAACTATTAAATTGAATTGTTTTCATGAAATAGTCTTCTACCCACAGAAAAATTCAAGGCTCTGCTGTTTAAAATTGCTTGTAATTTGGACATTTGGTTAATAATGAATCTTACATATTAACAGTAAATACATCAGTAATTGCTGATTATTATCTAGATAAGAAATTCTTACTATTGAGTGTTTTTTAACACATCACTTACAGAATCCACTTAAATAACATTATTACTATAAAATGAGCTTACTGGCAGAGCTCAGGATCCCAGTCCAAGGAATGAATGTTGAACAACATCGTTCTACTGGCATTAGTTACATCTGTACAGTGAACACCTCCATTCTTCCCACCCGTCAAACACTGAATTAAAAAAAAAAATAATAAAATCAACAGTATTTAGCATGAGAAGGTACAAGTTTACTACAACAAATTACAAACAAAATCTAAATTCACACAGCTTTCAGCTTGGGAGTGGGAACACCGATGTTTCTGCAACAACTAAAACCAGATACAGTAGAATAAAGGCATGGGAAAGATAGTAAGGGTACAGAAATATCTCCTAGATTCTTATTTTACAGAAGTGGCTAATACATCTTTCTAAAGTTCAAGTTTGTAAGTATCAGTAAGTATCAGTGCTCCTGCTGGGATCCCAAGCCCCTGCCTATAAGTTCTGCTACAAACTACACAGGCTTTGATCAGCAAGTGAACTTGCAGAACTTCTGTAGGATGCAAAAAAATCCTTTTTTTCTATATAAAGAAGACTATGCAGTTGATCAGAAGATGACTGTATGTTGTTACAAGCAGTCAGTAAATATTAAAAATTTTGTTTTGTTTACAACTCCAGGAGAAAATTTTTTTAGTAGGAACTTGCATACAGGAAACTGAAATCCATTTTTAGAAGAGTGATAATAAACTCACAAATACATACCCATATAAGCCACGAATCAATAGTTCCAAACATTGCTCTTCCATCATCAACTGCTTGCCTAATCTCTTCCACATTATCCAAAAGCCACCGAAGTTTCACTGCACTGAAGTAGGTGCTAAGTGGAAGACCAGTCCTAAACTGCAAAATAAAAAACATAAATTGAAAAAAGAAAAAAAAAATGAACATAATGCAGAGATATTTTCCACAACTACTGTTGCTAAATATAAAAAGAACCTTCGTAAATGAAATACTCAACACCCAAAACTCAGAGAAAATACAAACTTTTTGTTAAAATAAATAGTAAGCTTTCAATAAGCAAGTCTGAAAATATGAAACCCAAAGAACTACTGCATAATGGGCAAAGATCAAAGCTGCACAAAATCCAGGCCAAAAATCCTTCATGTGGAAACAGTTGCTAGCAGAAATCCAGAGTTATCTAGGATATCTCAATATGACCAGACAGAAAGTGTTGACAAAGACGAGCAGCACGCTACACAAAAGACAGAATTTGTATTCTACTTGAACTTAGAAGCAAGTAAATTTATATACTCTCCACATTTGTTTGCTGGCTGTAAGAAGACATATAAAATATTTTATATAATCAGTCAAGGAAAATGTAAATAGAAGAATTATGATACTATTCTGCAAGCATTTATTTTCAAACTTTGATATATACTCTTATTAGAATTTTTATTAGTAATTTATTTTTATTAATAATTTATTAATATTTATATATTATATTATTGTATTATATATTATTATATATAATATAATATAATATATTATGTATAATTTTTATTATTATTATTTTATTTATTTTATATATTTTATTATATATTATATAATATTTATATAAGAAGCAATATTATTGCTTCTTATAAAATATCTTTGCAGTTCTCAGATTGGTTGCAAATGAGTTCAATACTACAACATATGATGAGAAATGATAATGAAATATTTAATATCAATAAATGATTTTTGAACTTTTTTTTTTCCTACTTGCTCTTACTTTTTAGAGGAATATTTAGTTATTAGACAGGAAGCACGTAATGAAGTCTCACAATTGCCCATCTAACTTCTCTACTGAAATATTTAAGGTGTATTACCAATTTACTTGAGGAAAATAAATATTTTCCAGTCTCAGACTGGTGTATAGTAAATGCATTATGTACATTTTTTATTATTTGAAAAGCTGGAAGCTAGGACTGACTGACTTTGTTTTAGGGAATTTTTCAAGAAATACCTCATGACACTATATAATATCTACTATAACAGTAAGAGTTGAGCTATTATTTAATATTCTGTAATCTCTCTTACCTTAAAAAAGGATTTGTTATTTCCAGGAATTCTCTTAAGAAGCCTTTCAACTGTTGACTGAGTTCTTAGGTCAAGCCACACTAGAAACATGAATAAAATAAATTAATCAAATGATCTATTACAACAACAGTGACATGAGTAAGATGTTTTCACAAAACTCGAGTATTTGCCAGTAAATTCCTATCTTTATTCCTTTTATTTTTTTTTTTTTAATACGGAATTAATATTACATTGCCATTGTATTTTTAAAGTATAGTTGTAAAAAGAAAAAAAAAAAGATTGGATAAACTCATTCAGTTTAGAAGAACTCATGATTTGCAATATCAGACATGATTTTCCACATAATAGAACACATATTTTTCTCTGCTAGAGCACAAGTGAATGACTAATACTACTTCACTTATAGCAGATGAATACTATCAAATTAGAGGATTAAAACAAACAGTAGGTTGATTATTTACTGTAATTATGAAACTTTGAACTAAAGTGCTATGCCAGAGTTATCATGGTAGAGCTTACAATAAAGCTGTAAATAAAATGCATTTAAACACATCAAAGTCCTAGTCTTTCAGTAGTACAATGCTAAATTGCCTAGCATTTGACATAGGCTGAGTGAACAAATCTAGATAATCACAATTTCTCAGCAAGCATAAGCAGAAAAGCCAAGAAAAGTAAAAAATACAACTCCAAATCATTAAGTACTCTTTTAAACTCAAAAAATATTTACTTTAAAGTTAAATCCCAAGAATCCTGACCATTTAGTAAGCTCCTTCATTTCAAATGAAGTGGCTTTGCATACGTCAGGGCTTCAAGGCATGCTAAGATGTCCAAAACCCTTCAGGAACTTTGCTTTTTGTTAAAAGCTTATTAGGTGTTTTATTAAGTTATTAGGTAATAGTTGTAACAGAATGTGGCACTTGTGTATACAAACATGCAGCTAATGATGGATCTCAAACACTCAAAAGAAGTTAGTAGGCCAGGCCGCAATGAGATGCGCACAGAACTAGGAAAGCATTTTTTCTACAACACACTCACTTTACATTATTACAAGTCCAAAAAGTATAGTAGTTACCAATAGCGTTATAAAGAGGTTCTCCAGTCGTCTTGTCCCAAACCACTGTTGTTTCCCTCTGGTTGCTAACTCCAATGGCTTCAGGACAAAATAGAAAGAAGTATCCTTTTCAGAGGGTTTATTTTCCACTTTTTGGGGGTGTGGGAGGGAAAGGAGAGGTGGAGATGAGGGTGGAACATGTAAGGAGAAGAGGCAAGTAAATGGGAAATAAAATGCTTCCAACTTTTTCACATTACAATCTAGAAAGATTACTTCTAAAAATTGAGCATTCATCTTTTACAGTGCTCTAAATCCTTTTTATTTTTCCACAAATTAGGACAACATGAACACTGACAGTAAACTAGTTTTCACCAATAATACTTGAACAGTTTATCTTTCAGAATTTCCTCATTCATTGCTCGTCTGTGATTTTGCAAGATTACGTAAGTCTATTCTTGTAGATTTTGCCTTACTAACATACATGAACAATATCTTTTCTTATCATTCCTCCCAAACAAACTACTCTCAATATTTTCTTTGAGTCTAGGGCAAGCCGCCACCTTTCTCTTTATTGACTTAAAAAATAGAGAATCTGACTTGCTCAACTATGAGCATGTTAAAGCCACCAGTTTCCTCTTGGAATACCTTTTATGTTAGTGACGTCTATGTTCAGTTGCTGCAGTTTCTCACAGGTTCTTTCCACACATTCATGGACTGACTTTAAGATTTCCTTTGGATCTTGTTCCACCCATCTATAACAAACAGAAAATATCAGTTAATAAAACAAAAAATGCAAGTCAAAAAGTTACATTTAGAGAGAGAAAAAAAAAAAATGAATTCTGAACTAATATCAGCTGAGCATTTTGTCACAACCACAGCTATGGATATGTTTTACATATCCATAAAACGTTTAATACATTTCAAAGCCTTTTTAAAGAGTAAATGGTATTTCATAGCAAAACTGTCTGCAGAAAACAATAATTCTCTTCTACCTCAGGCAGAGGCCTTAGGGGCAAATGATAGACATGTCAAGAGCAAACAAACAAAACACATCTCAGAGAACAAACTAAACAATCTCTATGAACTAAGCAGAAGAATATGATTAAACTGTAAAAATAGGTAGCTTAACCTCTTTAAACAAGACTGCAAGAGAATTGGCCAGAATGAAAAACTAAGTCTCTTTACTTTTCACAACTCATAACTCATATTGATGCCCCATGTATTTATTTTACGTCATGTTTCCTACCACAAAGTCATTTATAGCAGATACTCTTTTCTCAGTAGTTATTAATCAACTTAAGTTTTGGTCATGCCTACATGGCAGTATATACAGTCTATCAAAATGTACACAAATGAATAAAAAGCTACAGAAAATTCATACCCTTCCTTAGGGAATTTCTGCTGTATCTCAACTTGATGGTGACTCAGAAGCTCTGCTGTTTTTGCATTAAATACCTGCAAATAAATTACACAATTGGATTTTCTATGAACACAGAGGTTTAAACAACAATAAATGCATTATTTGGAATAAATATAGTTAAATCATAATTGATAGTTATTATCTCATCTATCATTAACAAAACCAACCAACCAAACAAACAAAAAACCCAGACAAACAACCAAATATCCATAAACTGAGTTCAGATGTGTGAATTCGTGCAATTAAGGAGCAAAGAATATTTTGGTAAGCTTTGCTGTCAATTATGGGAAATAACCATATTCTTTTCTTGAGGAGGTTTTAGAAGTTAAACTAATGACATATATTAGAATACACTTCTCAGTCAGTATAGTACCAAACGCTAGTGATAACAACTTTTCTTTGGCTCCTGCTCTGTTACTCTGATGCCACAGATATGGCAAAAGGAGAGATTGCTATCATCATGTCACTTTCAGGAAAAGTGACAACTTTTAAGAGACAGGTAATCACATCCAGTTTAGAGCCAGTAGAAGGGACCCAATTGTGAAAAATGAATAAGCACCTCGACAGAAACCTACTTGTTTCAGTGCAAATTGCATATACAGAGCTCACAAACAATCTGAGAAGAAAAAAAAATGACTGCAGCAACACAATGCATTAAAAAGGAGAAGATTACGCAGAAGGGTGACTTAGATTTGGATACATTGCAATAGATGAAAGAGAGAAGAGAACCCTGAGTGCTATTATTATAATAGCCATTCTTTAGGAAACATGAAATGGAGTTTCTGCCTTGCAGTAGAAACTGAAACAGAAGACACGTTAACTTTCATTAACAGTGGCCTGATTCTGAAAGTAATCTACTGTGCCAAGCCAAAATGACACCAAGTAAAACATTCAACTTGATTGTATAATGAATAACTGACAGGTCAACAACAGTGTTCCTAGGAAAATAGTTCTTTCTCACTAACACCATTCAGAACCTTTTGTCTAAAGAACATTCAGAAACCTGGGAAATAAAATCTAACCAGAAAATCAGGTCAACTGGAGAACATGGCAGCAGGACACCACCCTATCTTTTCCCAGTAAGCAAACAGCAGGATTAGATTTAGACAATTCCTCTCATACTCAAGGTATAAAATTCAGTTATACCCTTCCCTAAGATAGGACTGAATCTTTTCTAGACTTGCTTGGAAATCTTCTCTTCTCATTCCACAAATTTTAGTAACTTCTCTTAAAGCTTTTAATCTATAAATTCTTGATTTCATTTAGATAGTACAGTCTACTTTGACACTACTGGACCAATTACTGCAAAGAACAGATGATTTTCTGATTCTCCAGTTTCTCTAAGACCTTGAAGTGTATCTTTAGAGAGAAACTGGAGTTTAGAAACATTTTAGTTACAAATTTAAATCACAGAATAGCGTGGGCCTTAGAGATGGGTAGCTACCTCTGGTACGGCCACCTGCTCAAAGCAGGGCCACCTAACAGATTAGACCAGGTTGCTCATGGATTTTTTTCCAAGCAGATTTTGAGAACCTCCAAGGATGTAAACAACACCACGTCTCTGGAAAATGCTAATACTCCTACTCAGCTCCACAGAAAAGAATTCTTAAAGACGTACAAGTTCTTTATTTTCTGTTACCACCTAGAGACATTAAAGAAAAAAGCTGTCACGGAGTTGACTAGATCAATCTATGTCCGTGACAGGGGCGACAGGCCTCTGCCCTCCCCCTCCACCCCAGTCCCACAAAAATGGGAAGGAAGGAAGGGAGGAAAAGAACAGCAGCAGCAATCTATGGAGGAAAACTTATTTTACTATAATATCGGAATACAAAATAACACAATATACAATTTAATTGAAATTGAGGTTAATAAATCAGACAAGATAAGAGAGAGAGTTCCCGGGACCGATTCAAACCTGAACAGCTTGGAACGGCTAGGAAAGCACCCTCCAGCACCCACTGCAAGGCGGCAAGAGAGTGCCCCCCCCCACCCAGAAGGGCCAGATCCCGTGACTGCTGTAATGTACAGGGATAGGTACCTGGGATTGGGGCAGTGACACTTTAATGCCCCGTACACTACATGATGTTTTGATGTGGAATACTGAAACCATAAAAAAACAAAACAAAAACAAAAACATAGAACCATGACAAAAGCATCACTGTATTTTTTTTCACTGTATTTACTTAGCTTATTTCACCTGCAAGCTCTGCTTTGGCATGAAGCTTTCCTAAGAGGTAAGCTCTATAAGTACTACATGCTTGGAAGGAAGTAGTATAATTGGATAAGGGTCTTAAAATGCCGAGCAATAGAGTTAATAGGAGAGATTGTTTCGCATGCATGTAGATAGACAATTTTACTTGATGTTCCCTTTTTACGAAAAGTGTAGTAACATTTACAGAATCACAGAATCACAGAATCACCCGGGTTGGAAGGGACCTCAAGGATCATGTAGCTCCAACCCCCCTGCCTAGCAGGGCCACCAAACATACACATTCAGATCAGGTTGCCCAGGACCCCGTCCAACCTGGCCTTGAACACGTCCAAGGACGGGGCATCCACAACCTCCCTGGGCAGCCCGTTCCAGGGCCTAACCACTCTCCTAGTAAAGAACTTCCCCCTAACATCCAACCTAAATCTTCCCTCCTTCAACTTGGATCCATTTCCCCTAGTCCTGCTGTTGTCAGTCCTTTTGAAGAGTTTACTCCCCTCCTGGGTGTAGGTTCCCTTCAGGTATTGATAGGTTGCAATGAGGTCACCCCGCAGCCTTCTCTTCTCCAGGCTGAACAAGCCCAACTCCCTCAGCCTGTCCTCACAGGGGAGGTGCTCCAGCCCCCTGATCATCTTAGTCGCCCTCCTCTGGACCCTTTCCAAAATCTCTATGTCTTTCTTGTACTGAGGGCTCCACACCTGGACACAGTACTCCAGATGGGCCTCACAAGAGCCGAGTAGAGAGGGACAATCACCTCCCTGTCCCTGCTGACCACCCCTCTCCTGATGGAGCCCAGGATCCCATTTGCCTTTCGAGCTGCCAGAGCGCACTGCTGGCTCATATTCAGTCTCTCGTCCATCAGGACCCCCAGGTCCTTCTCTGCCGAGCTGCTCTCAAGGACCACTCCTCCCAGCCTGTACAGGTGCCTGGGGTTCTTCCGGCCCAAATGCAAAACCTTGCACTTTGCCGTGTTGAACCTCATCAGGTTCACCCGAGCCCAGCCCTCCAGCCTGTCGAGGTCCCTCTGAATGGCATCCCTTCCTTCCACCGTATCAACCGCACCACTCAGCTTGGTGTCGTCAGCAAACTTGCTGAGGGTGCACTCAATTCCCTCATCGATGTCATTAATAAAGATGTTAAAGAGCACCGGTCCCAAGACAGACCCTTGGGGGACACCACTTGTTACCGGCCTCCACCTGGACATAGAGCCATTGACCACCACCCTCTGTCTGCGGCCTTTCAACCAATTGCTTATCCATCGGGTCGTCCACCCATCAAATCCACTTCCCTCCAATTTGGAGATGAGGATGTGGTGGGGGACCATGTCAAAGGCCTTGCTCAGGTCCAGGTAAATGACATCGGTCGCCTTCCCTTCGTCCACCAATGCCGTCACTCCAACATAGAAGGCCACAAGATTAGTTAGGCAAGACCTTCCTTTGGTGAAGCCATGCTGGCTATCTCGGATCACATGCTCATTCTTTATGTGATTGAGCATGTTGTCCAGGAGGATCTGTTCCATGATCTTCCCAGGCACGGAGGTGAGACTCACCGGCCTGTAGTTCCCTGGGTCCTCCCTGCTCCCCTTCTTGTATATGGGAGTGACGTGACCCTTCCTCCAGTCATCCGGGACCTCACCTGACAGCCACGACTTCTCAAATATGATGGAGAGCAGCTCGGCAACCACCTCAGCCAGCTCCTTCAGGACCCTGGGATGCACGCCATCCGGCCCCATAGACTTGTATTCATTCAGTCTAAGGAGGCACATTTACGAAGGTTTTATAAAGATTGAAGATATTATATTGAACACAGGTTCAATACATATTTATCTAACCAATGTTAGATAAATTTATATTTATATAATAAATATAAATTTATTTATATCTATGTATCTATATCTGTATATCAATGTTAAATATTTATTTATATTTATCTACCAATGTTAAATATCACTGAGTAATCATTCACCATTAATCATTTCAGTATTCTTTGAAACAGAAAGCAGTACATAATGATTCCTACTGTTAGCAGGAAATAAATACAGACTCAATTAGACAAGGTCATTCATTAAATCTAGAGTGTATGGCCTGCAGATAATTAAGGGTGAAGCCCTAGCAGAGAAAGGCTTTTTGTCCCCTTTTGTTCTAACAGGAGTAATTTCTCAGCAAAGCCAGTGTCACTACAAGTGCATAGATCTTTCCAGTGCCCATAGAGAAGAACTAGGTAAACACGCTCTCCTAATCTATCACAAAGAAAACCACAAACTTCTGACATCCTCAACAAAAGCAGCGGACGCTCCCTGTACCTTAGGGCAATGATTAAAAAGTTTCACTGAGAACAACATTATGTTATGCTGTGGTAATTCTGATACACAGAAGGAAGCCAAACATGAATGAAACATTACATTTAAACCTAGAGGAAAATGGCGAACGATGCAGGGAAAAAGCTGAAGAAAACAGAGCTCCTACTCCCCACGAACTGTAGCCAAAAAGGAAAAACTGTGTCTTTGTTTTTCACTGACAGTGGTGAGAGAAAGAAAGAGGTGACAGTGACTAATTCAGATAAGGCCAATCACATTCCTGTTGAGACAGGTTTGAGGTGTATTTGCAGCACTGCTTTCCTTCCTTTCATTTTCATTAATAACTGATTTCAATATACGATAGAGATCTCTCAATTCTTGCAGATTCAAAAATGTCAGTCAATTTTGCCCTCATTGTATCAGCAGTATTTACAGAGGAACTGCCTAGGCCATTTGAATACGTGTTGCTACAAGGGCTGCTCTGAAAGAAATGCCTCCTATTCCGTTATGTTGGCCCATGACGTCAGATGTAGATGTCGGCGGTGTGGCACTAGGGGTCAAACCTTCCCACCAGTATTCCGTGGTGTGTTACTGCTGTGTGACAGATGGCAGCAGAGGGACAGTCTGACACAATGGGTCTGACGTGGAAGAGTGGATGAAGCAGAGGTGTGTCACTGAACTCCTCCACGTGGAAGAAATGTCACCCACTGACATTCATCAACATCCGCTGAACATCTGTGGATGTTAGCAAAGTGTGGCAGTGGATGGTGCATTTCTGCAGTGGTGACAGCAGTGGTGCAGATTTTTTTGAGCACAGCATGCAGGCTCTTATTCATCACTGGTGAAAATGCATAGCTAATGGTGGTGACTGTGTTGAAAAGCAACATTTTGTAGCTGAGAACTTATCAAGTAGTGTTATTGTGCTTTTTGTAGCTGTTGTATTTTCAATGGAAATAAATGAGAGACATTACTTTTGGAGCAAGCTACAAGTTTGACAGAAAGCAGTGAACATTCAGAAATGTACTGAATTCTCTGGTGGGAAATTAAAGAAAAAGGATTAAATACTTTCCTTCTACTCACAACTGATTTATCATACAAAGAATATGAGCTAGAGCTTTGAATCTTACAACAACAAAGCAGAAAAAGAACACCTAAACAGCTACACTGTGTGTAAACAAACAGAAGGGCTGATCATTTAACTCAAGCTCTTTCTAGAATCTCACCAGTGATGGAACATTAAGGAGTGCAAATAGTTGCATGGCATTACATTTACTCTTGACTTCTTAATAGAAAAGATCTCATCAGTTGTAATAATTGTGAAAGAATGAACAGAAACATGAGGCAAACAAATATGAGGCTCATACACAGGTAATTTATAACTACTCATAAGCTTTGCTACTTATGACAGCTGTGTAACTGCCTGCAGAAAGCTATGTTAGCCTATGCTGTATTTTCATCAGTTTCCATTAAGCTGAAACAGCTATAGATTTGCTGGCAAAAGCTTAGAGCTGGAGTTTTGAAATTGCATTGAAATCAACCCAAGTGGGGAAAAGATGACAGACAAACAGTAATTCCACCCCCAGCATTTGACTGGAATTAGTGGGTCGATTTCGTGAATGAGCACAGTTTAACTTGTCTCCTAGAAATTATCTTGTTTGGAAAGCTCCTGTTGAATAGCTCCTCTCCCCCTCTACCCCCAGAAGCACTTAAGATTATGGGAATAAAAACCAAACTATAATGTATTTTAAAAAGCTAAGAGTGAGGGAAAAATTAAAGCATTTGCAATATTTTTAACCCTTCTCGTTAGCTATACAATCAAATTTTGCTCTTTCCCGAAATGCTGGGCTACTTCCATAGAGAAGCAGAACAGTTTCCCCTCCACACAGCAAGCTCAATGGATGCTAATTGTTATCATAAGTAAAGGCAGTTTTTGTTTACTGAGGAGTAGGTACAGTGTGATATGTTTTTATTTGCAGCCTTTCTTCTGGAAGTGAAATAAAGGTAAAAAGAAATAGCCCAAGGAGGTGGAAAAAAAAAAAATCTGTGGTTGACTGACACACTGTACGTGTACTTCACTGTGTAGGCCCTCCAATGAATATTTTCAATTCTTGCTGCTTTTGGATAAAATGCCAGAAAAACTTTATCTAGCAAAAATCTTTCAAGAGATCAGGCATGGATTCAAATGGTCACTAACTCAAAACTCCAAAATTTTTAGCAAGAGTAGCAGAAGTCACAAAGAGTTTCATGATATAATTATTGAATAAAATAAAGTGAAATGAGAGATGCAAATATTTGATGAATGCATTTGGCAAAACATCTAGATCAGAACTTAATCATTCAAGTACATGTGTTTAGATTATCCATTTTGTTTTCCAGCTTGGTTATCTTAAGAAAATGAACCAAAGCAATTGCAATGCCATTCAAAGTACTGAGCTCTGAAGTTAGTAACTAACTCTGAACTTGTTACCCATATTCATCTCAACTGAACAGAAGGAAAAAAAAAGAAAAAAAGAGAACTCACTTGAGTAACTACAGTCACTCTTGCAGAAGAAAGTAGCTTAGAAAAAATCCAAGTCAAGGTCCTCTGATGGCAAGACCACACATGAGCTAAAACTGCTTATGTGTATTATGTGTGTAAGAAATACAAGGATAAACAAGGAGTGATGGCAACAGAAATGTACTTTTCTCAGTTCTGCTGTTTCATACAGCCTCATTCACATGAGTGGAATTTCACAAATCTTAGTTTCTATTCATATATAGAATCTCCGAATAAGCAATGCTGGAAGGAATCTCCAGAGTTGTCTATCCTGACCCACTGGTCAAGTAAGATTATATTTAAAGTTAGACCAGGCTACACTAGGCCTTCTCCAGCCAGGTGTTGAACACCTGCAAGGATGGAAATTCCAGTCTTCCCAGGTGCCTGACCTAGTGTTTGAGTCCCTTACAGGGAAACATTTGTTCTTTACATCTATTGGAAATTTCTCTTGCTGTACACAGTCATCACTGCCTGTTGTCTTTTCTTGTGCACTTCCAAGATTCTGTCTTCTCTACAAACTGTGTTTAGATAACTGAACCTATTACAGTGCCCCTATAGACTTCCCATGGACAAATAACCCTGGGTCTTCCAACCTTGCCTTGCATGCTGCATGCTGCAGCCTACAAACCATGTCAGTGACCCTCTGCTGGACTAAATGGAGTTTTTCAGATGCTCTGTTCCTCTGTGGGGACTGAAACCAGACACTCCACTTTCAGTGCTGTCTCATCAGAGGCACACAGACAGGAATAATTAGTTCCTTTGATTTGCTGGCTGCACTCTTCCTAATGTGGTTAATCTTCACCAGCATAAGGACAATCTGCTCTCTCATGTTCATCTTGCTATCCAGCAGGACCCCAGATCTGCTTCCATTAAGCCTTCTTAGCCTTCTGTCCCAAGCATTAGACTTTGTTGAACTTCATGATACTTCTGCCAGGCCAGTTCTCCAATCAACTGATCCTCACAATCCATGACTACCTGCAAACTTGACAGTACATCCCAAACCATCATCCAAGCCGTTGACAAAAACTTGCTACCATCCTCTGTGGAACATAATTTGTAAATTAGCCTCCGTTTAAACTCTGACCTATTGATAGTATCTTAGCCAATTTTTCACCCAGATATCTTTAAACTGATAAAAAGTCATATGTTCACTGCTTTTAAAAAAATAGGAAACAGCTACACAGTCCTGATGAATACACAAAGTAACAAACAATTTGATTTTAACTGGTGACTTAATGAAAATGGTGGGAAATGTACAAAGATCACTGAGGAAGGCATGCGGAACAACTATCACAGTGAAAAGATCAAAAGGTAACAAGAGAGCCAAGGAAATATCTCAGACAGAAAGAACACCATATTACATTTTGGCATAAAGTGCTTGAAAGAAAGGTCTCTCTTCTAAATCTGGTAATCTCTCTCTAATACAAGATTCTCCAGGTACATGCATTATTATCTGACTGAGTGACATAGCTTGTAGCAGATCCCTGTTTGCTTGGCCCTCTTCTTCCTCCCTACCTCACATTTTTCTTTTAACTCAGTGATAAAAAAAAAAATTCTTAAATTTGTGTAACTTTATTATCATAACAGTTTGATCACACTGCCAAGTTTAAGAGAATGCTGTATTTTGAAAATAATTTAGAGAAACTGAGATGAATACATGAAGAATTGAAAGAAATGACAAATACTATACACTTAAAAAAAAAAAAAAAAGTGAAAAAGTATGGTTTCTTATTTATTTGTGAAAGCATCCTGATCCTTGAACAGAAACATTCTCATGCAAGACAAAAAAGCCAAAACTGACAGTGTACAAACTACCGATGAATGTATCTAGCATGAGAAATTTCTTGTTAAGGCCTATAAACAGTACTTGTAAAAAGACACTGAGTACAAATTTAAGGCTGGAAGTGTGTCTTAATTGTGCTGGTGTTTTATTTTTACACTAAGACTTAACTCAGCAGCACGCATAAAGCAGACAGAATTTATTTTCAGGCATTACAGGGAACTTTTCCAATGTTTTTTTTTTTTTTTTTTTTTTGAAAAGGGCTCCTGACAGGCATTCCAGATAGCCCACTGGTGTCATTTGTCAGTTTGGAGTTTCTCTCCACCCCCGGATCTGTGCTTTGTCATTTGACAGTCCCATGAAGGTCGTGATATTGAGAAATAATTGTAACACAGGTCAGGAAGATACTCAGTCCCCTGCTTCAGGGAAGAAAATTCCACGCTAGGGATTTCACATTCATCTTTCCAGCTCAATTTGGCATTTTATATCTAGTGACAATTTCACTTGCACAGCGGAAGTTATCATCGGCGTCAATATCAAGTTGCTATGACTTACTGTCTGGGAGGCAGGACAGCATTTGCAGACATCTGCAAGCAGGAAGCTTATATACGAAGTTACATATATGGGAATAACATTACCGTCTATTGCATAACAGGGAGATAGATCCTTAAGCTCAAGGGCTGTTATCAGCCACCCCATCCTTACACAAACCGTGCCCTCCCGCAGGCTCGGACCCCCCGGCTCTGACGCGGGTTGAGGAGGGGGCTACAGTTCAGCCACGGCTGCGCACGGGATGCGCGGACACGCTCCTCCCGCAGGCCCAAGCTTTCAGCTGGGAACTCGGCACGGTCACCGCGTGCTTGAACGCTACAGCTCATCGCGGTCACCCAAAGGACAGCTCGCGGGGTTCCGAGCCGTCCGATTCAGACCCAGCCGCCCGCAGCGCCGGCTCTCCGCAGCCCCTCGCTCGTTCCCCACGGGCGGAGCGAAACACCCCGCGAGGCTGCCGAAAAGCCGCCGCCGCCTGCCCGCCCGCAGCCCGAGCTCCGCGATGCTCTCACCAGGAAGCGGCTGGAACTGGTGCCCTGATCGATGGAGCCCACCAGCGGCCCCAGCACCATGCGATCCGACGCGGCCATGGACCCCTTCCGACACCACCGCCACCGCCGCCCCCTCAGCACCTCGGGGCGGGTAACGGCCGCGCTCGCTCTACACCACCGCCTCGCTGCCACCGGCGCGTGGCTGCCGGAGTGAAGCCGGCGGGGCGGGGTGGGGGGCGCTGCCGCGCGCAATGCCAGGGCGCAGCCAATCAGCGCCCGGGGCGCGGCGGGGGCGGAGAGGAGAGGGCGGGGCTAAGAGGCCAGGAAATGGGCCAGAGGCAGGAGGGGCGGGTGCGGGGGTGGTTGGGGGGTGTGTGTCACGTGATGAGCGGCGCGCGGCTCCTCCTTACGGCCGCGGTCGGGTGGGCTGGGGGTGCTGAGACGGTTCGTGAGGGGGGCGCGCAGGGGTGCGCGGGAGCCGGCCGTCGGCCGTGCGTCTGAGCGTGTCCCTGTTTCTCTGGCAACCCGGGAGAGCCGCTCTGAGGAGGAGTCTGGCGGCAAGCGCTGAGGAGGCGACGGGGCGAGGCTTCGCCGCCCTGGGGGAAGATGTCCGCCGAAACTCGGCTGCTCGGATCGCCCGTGGCCGAGGAAGGACGAGGGGTCTGTGTCGCTGAGTGCGAGCTGACCCGGCGTCCCCGCAGAAATAGCGAAGGTGTACGATCTCGATCGTCCTTTCTCAGTGTTTGATGCTAACCAGTGCTTCAGGAAAAGCTGCCCGTGTCGCAAGGCCCGTGGTGGAGTTGCAAAAGCTGAAAATGCTGACTAAATCGTACAAGAAGTCACAAAGCCTTGCAGTAACTGGGCTTCCGCAGGCTCCAGTAAATAGATTATGCTTGTCTGCCGTAGTTCTCTAAAGTTTTCATATTTTGTCGTTGCCGTGGTCTGGTTAGTGCTGCCGGTTGGTAATGCTTGCTGTGCCATCTACAGCGCTTCCCACATAGCACTGCTGTGTCGGAGCATCACGGTTTTGGTGTGGGTGCTGTCTTCTGTGTAATAACAGCGAATGACTGCGTTACAGCCCCAGCTACAAAGTCTGAAATGACTTTTTTTTTTTTAAGGAGTTTTTGGCTTGATTAAAAAATGACTTTTTTAAAAGTTAAGAAAGCACCTAAATGTTAGACTGTTAGGAAGGATTCTCTGCTACCCTAAAATGTAATATTCAGGATTCTCATTACTGTAAACTCCAGAGGCTGTGTTGCTGAGGGACCTTCTGCAGCCCATACCCAGTGGGGTCCCTCATCTGCTGCACCACGCTCTGAAGGGCACTTCTGCCCCAAGGCCATGGGCAGTGACGGCTGTTGACTTTAAAAGTTTCCTTGGGGCTACAGCATCTCTGTACAGGCTGAAGCTCAAGGAATTAATCTCAAGGGATCTTAGCCAAGTCTCAGCTCATCAGTATAGTTACTAGAAAAGGTACGTTTTCTGTGGTTTTGGTTTTGTTTTTTTTTTAAACTTGCCATGGGTGTTCCTGATCTTAATACTAGGTAAGACACAACTATTTAAACTATATAAAGATTGAGGTCTGTCGAGATCCAAAAAAATGAAGAAATAACATCATGACTAATACTTATGCAAAACAGTAAATACCTATGGTTGCATGTTTTCACATTTACCTGAGTAAAATTTACACAGGTTACAGAACATCACTTGGTTACAGAAAATTCCTCAGGGGAGCAAATTGTCAGTTTTCACAGAATCACAGAATGGCGTGGGTTAGAAGAGACCTTAAGGATCATGAATCTCCAACTGCCAACCACAGGCAGGGCCTCTAACCTCCCAGTTTAATACTAGACCAGGCTGCCCAGGGCCCCATCCAACCTGGCCTTGAACACCTCCAGGGATGGGGCATCCACAGCCTCAGCCTGTTCCAGCACTTCACCACTCTCATAGTAAAGACCTTGTTTTTGTACAGATGCTCTAACAGTATTCTCTGTGTTTTCATACACCTGGAAAAGGAGTGCTGGCAGTGATAACCAAAGCCATTTTTGTAACCCTTGAGCAAGACAGGCAGAATCAAAGAGCTTTGGCAGACACCAGAAAACAGAGTCAGTGAGAACAACTTATTCTTCCTATTCCATGCAACAGTGCACTCTATCATTCAGCCTTTATTTAGGTGTTAATTTAGTGTTTGAACACTTTAATTTAATTTCATTTTTCTGTAGTTTTAAATTTCTATTTGCAGACCTGTTAGTGGGTCCTGTGCCAAGAAGGCTGTTTGCAGAGGAGGAAGGGTGGAACTGTGACCTTACCTTTATGGTAAGGTGATGTGAGGCTGTACTGCTGAGATGCTGTTAGAGGAGTTAGCTTGGAAATGGAAGCAGTGTATCTGAAGGAGCATGGGTATCTGCATGGACTCATTTGCTCTGCTTCTGGCTTGGTTCTTGCTTCTGGCTTGGCTCAGGCAAGTCTACGAATGCTGCTTAAATGATCATTTCCTCCATCGAACAACATACAAGCTGAAGAAAAAAATCTTAACTTGTAAAGAATTAGTATTCATGGTTTTGAATGTTAAATATACTCCTCTCAAGTCTGGCAGAAATAATGGAGAATCCCATTACTTATGGAGAACTTAATTACAACAAAGTTTAATTTGATTCCCAAACCCAACACACCTCTGAAGATGATGCTTGTTTTCAAACTCCCAAGGGATATGAATTAGTGCAGATTTGCTTGTATTCCAAGTACAACTTTTTGACCTCTTGTTCAGCAGACTAAATTTAATAGAAAGTCTTCTCCATTTCTGAATATATATAGTTTCAGTGGTTGTTTTTTGTTTGGTTTTTTTTTTTATTTATTTAATATTTTTAGGTAACAAATACGTTTGATATACGTTGATTATAAACACAATTGTAAGCACCTCTATACTTAGAATACATTTTTCAGAGACAAGGAACTTTGCTTGTAAAGAACTATTCTCAGTGGCAGATAACTCCTCTCAGTCTCATTTATTTATTTCTTTATTTATTTTATATTTACTATCAGCAGTATGGAGGGATATTGGTAACTAAGTTCTGCTCTTTCTGGCTGATTCTGTTGTTTGACCTCAAACTGGGGACAAAATGTGACTTTGTCAGGCTACTCCAAGCATGTGATAACATGTGAAATAAAGTGTGCATGCCAGATGTCCATGTCTTTCCATTCTGCCCGTAAGTGACAGAGATAACTCGGCAGGCTGAATCCTGCTGTACCTTACTGATGACCCCCAATCTTTGTGTTCCTGTAGGAAGAGCTGAAGTGAAATATTTGGAGTTAGCCCAGAGCAGGTGTACATACGTATGGTGTGCCAGGACCTCAAGTCAGGCTGTCACATACACCCTTTTGCCTACTGGGAACATGAATGGTATGTGTGAGTGTGCAGATGCTTGCATGTTTGAGTAAATCTTGTCTCTCATACCAGCCCAGGGAGTAAACGCAAATAGATTGTGACCTTGGGAGCCAGTGCCCTCCCATCTGAATCCAGGGTTTGTAGCACCCCTATGCAGGGAGCCCTTCCACAGATATAAAGGAAGCAGATCAGAAGGAGCAGCTCTGTGTTCTCTATACTAGGTTTATTTTGGAAGGTGTCCACAGTGCTTTGTCACCATTTGGCAAGAACGGTTTTATTGTGAAGCCATGGGCTGCGGTGATGCAATAGATGTCTTGTAGGATGTGTTCTACTTCTGACCAGATATTAAACAATAGTTTCCCCTGAATTACATTTTATATTTAGAATCACTCTCACACTGTTCAAAGCCTGAGCAGTCATTGCAGTTACTGTTTCTTATGTGGACAGAAGGAAATTAAGTAAACTCACCTTTTAAAGACAGCAAATACTGACAACTGTGAAAAGTAGTTTATAAACCAGTAAATCTTTACACGTATCGTATTACTAAAAATGGAAAAATGAGAAAAAAATCCTCAAGATTTTTATATAGCATTCTTGAGAAATAAAATGGTAATTCAAGAAATAGAAATACTAATTAGCATTATAGTTGATAATCCATGCCTCAAAATCCTTAACTCTGAGATGCCTGGTTTTCCATTTATGTATGGAAATTTATGTTTCCGTATAGAAATTACGGCAACTCACTGCAAAATTTACTCCTGAAGGAAAATAGACACTCTATTGAAGAGGAGCATTAAAATTGAGTTTGTTTTCTACTGATTTCCTTATAAACTGTGTTTTGCTGGCTGTCTTTTTATCTTTTTATTTATTTATTTCTCTCAAATGAATTGATCTGCTCTGTTCTCCATAAATGGCAACAGCTTTTCATGTGTATCTTTCTTGTACTGGATATTAGGTATTTCTAAAAATAAGCACAACTGAAATTACTATGTATAATGAAAGGATTGGGTGAATTTCTCTAAATACCAGTATTTATCACTTTTCTACCTGAACGCTGGGTCAGAATTGAAATTCTATTGGCACACACTCTAGACCTGTGTTTCCAGCTGTGGGTATGAAAAATTCCAGGACAGCCGCATTGAAAACACTAAGGAGCATTGGTGCAGTTGCATGAGAATCTGGAGGCTATCACTGCACTGGATTTAAGCAATTTCTCTTAATTCTGCACTAACCTGAGCTCTTACATCATACAGTACAACTAAAACTAATTACAACAAAATAATGTTTCAAGTGAGATGCATCCTACATCTAGAGAGTTCAGGATGAGAGGGTTAATTAAAACATACAATCAAATACATACTATTTTTATAGAAACATAATTATAGGAAGGGAAATGCATTTTAGTGTGTTTGAGGAATTGTATCCTCCACTTCTGGTTCTCTATTACAGTTTGATTGTTACACGGTGAGTTCCCAACATCCACACAAAAAGCATTAAGGATTTAGTACTGATAATTCCACGGTGGTCCAGTTTATTTACTGAAGGTAATGAAAAGAGCCACAGGTCCCACAGAATCCATAGACTTCTTTGTCTATGAGCCTGAAAATCTTTTGACATATCTCTGCAAAGGATCTTACAGTCGTGTAATGCTTGCTTATGGCCTTTATTTTACAGACAGGGAGGAAGGCTCAGAGCAGCCCCACTGTTCACCATTGGCATGCAGCAAATGCTCTCCAGAGCAAACGTGAAGAACAGTGCCATGAAACACTGCTCTCCTTATCCACCACATTGCTCAGGAACCAGTACCTGCATTCCT